AATGATGGTTGATTAGTATTTACATTCTAGTACATTCTTTTACATAATGCCGGTGACGTATAGTATTTATGCAGTGCTGTACGCTTCGTAAGATCCAAGAGCAATGCAATTGATCAAAAAACCTTCGCAAAATACTAACAAATTAAGACAAAATAAATGATAATTAAACAATTTAGAAAAATATCGCAACATATCTATATATTCTTATAATATATAAACATACATAATTAATTCAAGAAATTTTATGTATGTAATTAATCGACATTATTACAAAATTGTTTTTCGATTTTTTGTACATTACTCAATCCGCCATTTTGACCTGACACGAAAATAGTGACGCCGTTCCGTTTTTCACAGTACAATGTTATATTCATGTTATAAAAATACTAACCTCAACTCCTGATATAGTCTCCAATAGCTCTGATAATGTTACGGGTTGTTCTCCATCCATCATAACTGTATCGCCAAGAAATACCTGGCCTTCTGTTGTATCACCCATACAAATTCTACATCTATTTATTCCATCACCTCGCACTACGTGAGAAACTAAAGCCTTAATATCTACCTGCCGGCTCATTTTAGAGTTATCTATATTTATTAGTACTGTAAAATTTAGATTCTTTAAAAGGCACGTCAAGTTCTAATGCCAGATCGTGATGAAAGGAACCACAGAGTACATTATATATAGGGGAAAAGGAACTCTCTCAGATTTGTGTCAAACTGTCAAATAGTGTCAAATTGACACAGAGTGAAAGAAAGAGTTCCTTTCATTCTTTCATTTGACTGCATTTGACACTGTCAATCTGTCAATACATTTTATTATTATATAAATAGATTAAATTTCTTCATTATGTAATGGATGCTATCCATAAACTACAAAATAAAAATTTATGGCTATGCATAGATTAAACCCTTGATAACTAAATAAATGTAGTGAGTTAGTTAAGGAACAAGCATAAACTAATACGAACTTAAGGGGCTACTCCATGCGAACGACCTTGAGCATTTGACCGCTTGCTACAATATTAATATATTGTAGCGAGCGGCTCGCCGGAAGAAATATGTAAGACGCCACCTATTGTACGAAAGTAGTATTATTTTTTCAACATCAATAAACTATTTTATGGAAATACACATAGCGTACAAAGATAAATGTATTTTAATTTTTTTATTCTGTATATATTAGTTGCATTATATTAGAATTATGTATTTTCATAAGTATATTATCTAATTATGAAATTTTATAATTAATTATATATTAAAACTGAAGCATTGAAAATTGTGAGTTTAAAAGATACCTATTCACTATAGGTAAATAAATAGATAGCTCGGCTTTTGTACAAATATTTGGTGCAATAAAAAATAAATAAATAAATAGGATGTTTCGCATATGTGTTTTTGATTATTGTTAATTTTTACGTGTCACGTATTGAAAAGTTACCTACTAAGTAATTTTTGAACTTATGCTGGCAGATATTATCCTCACCCCAATGATTGATGAGGATGAAAATCAATTTTATTTCTACATACGTAATTATATTTATTTATACATAAGGGTAACTTTAATAAAGGTAATACAAAAATCAACAAGAAGTATAAGGGTTCAATCTTTCAATTTCAGTTGTAAAAAAACGTTACCCCCACACTAGGATTTTCTCCTGTGTCGTGGAGGCAGTTTACAAACATAAATTGCACAAAGACAAACATCCAGACCCGGAACAATTATTTGTAGGCCATACAAATACTTGTTCCATGCGGGATTCGAACCCGCGGCCCCCAGCGCAACAACTGATTGCTAAGCCACTGCGCCACCATGAAGCTAATACAAAGACTAACTTTGTATTTGCTTCATGGTCGCCGGGTTATAGCTAAAGTGACCATACGTCCCGTTTTGAACGGGACTGTCCCTTTTCTCGGTCTCCTGTCCCATTGTCCCCAAACAAAGCTCCGGGACACAAAATTGTCATGTAACTAGTTGGATGGAAGTATTCAAAGTCAACAATCTTCAACATAATTTTTTTTAATCGAATATATTTTATGTCTACCTGGTACGAATGCTCCGGTAGAAAGAGTATTTTTTTATTTTGCATAAATTGTGGAAGTCTGAAAGAAACACTTACGGTTCCAGAGTTCTAAAGGCGATGTTGTTAACAAAGATAACAATAAAAAACTTGAGCAGAATTTTATTCTTATTTAAAATCATCACCAACTTTATTAAAGCAAATTTAATCCACTGACAAATGTAATTAATAATTTAAAAAAATATGTTGCATTTAATAATTACCGTCTATACCGAATATAATTTTATAGTGAACACTAATTGTATAAAGTTATAGTTTTTAGAGTATAAATAAACCCATGTCCTGTTATGAGTTAAAAAATAAATGGTCAGTTTAGTCTTTTTAGTTAAATTTAGTTTTAAATTTTTTTAGTTTATAGTAAAAAGTAGGTATATTAGTACTTTTTACCGAATTATAAGTATAGAACACCTTATGTACTCAATTATTTTTTGAAAAAGAAGAAAAAACAAGCAATAAATAATATACTATATTTTAGCAAAAAACTATAACTTAGTAATACTAATTATAACTTAGAACATAAATGAAAAACTCATAACTGACTTTTTGGCCCGACCCAGGATTCGAACCCGGGACCTCATGATCAGCAGTCGCACTACTACAACCACTAGACCAACGAGGCAGTACTATACCTGATAAGATATTGTGGTTGGATGATAATATTGAATTAGCCTTTTATAGTGTAAATTATAATATTTGTCGAAATTTTAATTATAGATTCGAACCTTACATGCTAATGGTGCTTCATTTTTTTATTTGCATTTACTTCAAAGAAAATACACGCAAAAAGCTTCATCGCGCAGTAAAAAACACAACAAATATATGTATAACTAATACGAAAAATTATACCCAAAACAAACAAATAATACTACCTATAAATAACCTAATAAGTAATATTATTTATCGACTGATATTACGTGAGTGTATGCGGCGCTGGTCGACGCTCTAACGACACGGGCTTCGCGTCGAAGAGCTCAGGGCTCAATGACTCCAGCAAGCCCGTGAGCAGTGAATATGCCCAGATTTTAAAATAATTTCTTAATAAAATCAAATTTTGGTCTTTTGAAAAAAAAAATTTACTATAGAAATGTTCATTAATAAATTGCCTATCCATTGGTGTAAATCGCAAAATAAAATAATACTTACTTTACGAGGAGATGCATGTTATCAATAATAATTTCACATTTATGTGGTTTCGTTGTAAGGAGATTATATTAATATTTATTCCTTTAAAAAAAAATTGGATATAGCTTTTATGGAATCAAGATTATGTAGAAATATAATGTGTTTTTTATTTGTTGATATATCTTTTAAATAAAAAGTAGATAGCTTCTAAAAACCGCCCAAATAACGACTAGCGCGACATTTTGCTCAACCTGCGCCTTAAGAAATACAGAGACAGTCTTTTTAATATTACAGGGCTAACGGGCATAAACGTGATGATTAGTAATGCTATTGATAGTTAAAAAATAAAAATAACTGCAGATTTTGTATATACATTCAAAAACCAAGAAAGTAATTTGGTTAAAATGCATGGGATAATATGCAATATCAAAAAACTGTACGGTTCTTTGAACGATGTCATCCGAAGGGCTCTTGTCTCTATAAATATTCGCTCGGTTTTAGAGCCTTGTGGAATATTTAGAGACGATGACAAGAGACTCGACGGTATAACATTGGTCCCTTGGGAGAGAGGTAAAGCTCTAGTGGGGGATGCTACTTGCGTAGACACTTTGGCGGCCTCTCATGTCAGGTATACCTCGTTTAGAGCCGGGGCGGCACCAGAGGCAGCTGAACTGAGTAAGTGCAAATATGAGTCTATGAGAGATGACTACATATTTGTGTCGTTTGCTGTAGAGACTATCGGTCCGTGGGGTCCACGTGCGGTGGAGTTCCTAAAGGAACTCCATCCGCGGCTAGTCATTGCTGCTGGTAATAAGAGGGCTGGGTCTTTTCTCGCTCAAAGGCTAAGTACAGCCATTCAGCAGGGAAACGCAGTCAGCGTTCTTGGCACGATACCGCGGGAAGTAGTAGGATAATTAAGTTACTAGTTTTAGATTTTTTTAATTATAGTTTTTATATAAAAAAAATGAATGTTAAACGATTTGAACCTCAGATATAAACTGAATTTTGAATTTGATTGTTTACACACACACACACACACACACACACATATATATATATACGAGTATTATATGTTAGGTGGCAGCACTAAAGTGAGAGAGTTATATGCATGTACGATCGAGACATAAAAATCGTACGCAATTCATACGACTTTTCACATTTTCTACCAATGTTTTATCAGAATCATACAGAAACAAAGTAAATACTTTGTTCCCTCTATGACAATTGTGCCTCGGATTGTAAGTGAATAAATAATACAAAATGTGGACGACGAGTGGAGAAGATTACCCATGCTCTTTCTTAAGTTGATACGACTCTCCTGCCAGACGAATTTTGGGCAGAAATGTGTCCGTTAGATGACTTTCTGAATATAGTAAAATATGCTCTCGATTTGCTATGCCTTCCTCTATCTAATGCGGATTGTGAACCATGCTTCAGTTCAGTAAATCTCATCAAAACGAAAATCCGAAATAGGCTCAGTATTGAGTTTGTGAACGGCACGCTATTAGCCAAACAACATATAAAACGCTTTGGTTGTTGTGTTGATTTTTCTCCTTCAAGAGAAATGTTAAATAATATGAACAGTAAGATTTTATATGGAGATAAAGACTAATAACTTTGTGTTTTTAATTTTTGTATAATTTAATAAAACAAAGTATAAAAAAACGTATTATTTATATTTAATGACATTCTTAGGGAATACGACTTTATATTTACCCATCGTACGATCGTTCATTCAAAATCTCTGGCAACACTGACTGTCATGTCGCTTGAGTTTGAGTTTGACAGTTTGATTTTAGTTTCAGTCTGTGGAAAGTTTTGTTTGGAGAAAAAAAATATAAGAAAATATCAAGATGGTAATTTAATTTGCAAATTCTTGAATAATCCTTAGTTATAAAGTGTTTTCCTTTTAATAATAAAGTATAGTAACTAGTAAACTATGTGTTTACAGCTATATTATTTGTAAAATTTGTAAAAATATTACACAGAAACTGTTATAAAATTTAGGTTAAATATCAAGAATTAAATGATGTATTTTAAAATCCAATAGAATATATGTTGTATGTTGTTGTGAATTAAATTTTTATGTGTATAAATATGCATGTGCGTATATATTTTATGTAAATTATTGTTTCTTGTTGGAATGATCCAACACTACCGTCCATCTGACAATTTAATCCTAGTGTTTGATGTTATTTCTTATCTAATTCATAAAATCTAGTCATGGGACGTAATTAAAAACATTGAAAAATAGTAGATTAGCGTTTGATAATCATTCGTTGATATTTTGTCATTTTTATGTCTAGGATATATGCGCATCATCCATGAAATAGGTTAAAATTTCCAATATGGACCATCGATTTAAATGCCCATATTTTTTTCGACGATTTTACATTTTAAAAGAAAGCGTTGTGCAAAGTTTCAATATGTGGAAACGTGTACTTTTTGAGAAAAAAATTATTGAAAATCTATTATTTTTGCAAATTTATGTCAATTTCTACTGTAAAACTGACATTATTTTGTATTGTCATTGTCATCGTCAGTAGGGATGTCGATTCTTTCTGAAAAAGATCGACTTTATAAATCGATTCGAATCATAAGCTGATGTAACGATTCACAAAAAAATATATTTCTAAAATATCGATATTTTTTCATGTTTGCATTTATAATGGAAATATAAATCCATTTTATGAAAAAAAAAAAACCCCTTCATCAGACAAAAAATAGGGGGACTGATTAAAAGGGGTTTCTGTATCTATTTCGAGACTACAACGTCTCCAGCGCTGCGGGAAGAGCAGCCTACACCTTTGCGTAACAAATTGCAGGCATTCCTCCTCGCCTTCGCAGCTTCGGCTTGTTGGTCGCCTTTGCCTTCTTGGCCTTCAAGACAGGTGTAAATAGGCTTTTATCACGCTAAGACAGTGTGTTTTATGATATAGGGCTTCATCATGACTTATCATCAGGTGAACAAAATTCAAAACATTTTTGAAAGCACTCTTCTATAAACTGATATATTATGATGTATAATTTATAAGATTAATCCCTTTAACTTTAAAATCTCAAAGAATATTCCTTAATGTTGTTAGTGACTGCATCATATCATAACTATTTAAATTATAAGTGAAAGAACTACTTGACATTGTTTCCCTGCACTAATACAGAATGGAAATACTGATGATGCAAGATCTTGTAGGTGTTTCACTCTGAAAACACCCACAGACATGAATGAGATTTTCTGTTGTTAAATACACAGCAGGCTAATTTAAAAGGAATTTTTTTTTCAGCAACCACAGATCTTAGTGCTAAAGGAGGGGACAGACCAGTCGCAGGGCAAGCCACAGCTGGTTTCAAATATCAATGCATGCCAATTAGTTGTTGATGCGGTAAGTGTATTTTTGAACAAGCCACAGATCAGGATAGCAACAAGTGCAATTACAGGACATGGCTCCTTTAACAAAAATTTATTTACTATATAGGTGTTACAGATAATTCCCTGTGCAGGGCATGTATGAAAACATGCATCACTACATATATTATACTGCACTGCATTTAATTTCCGATAGAAAACAGAAAGGCATATTCACTTAGTAATATATTATTGGCTGTTGTTTATCCTGTCATAGAAGTTTAATACTTCCTGGCATATGATTTTACTAGGTAGTAGGATTCCTTTTGTTTTTTTTTGGTTGATACTTCTGTCATACTATATACTGTTAAATTAAACCCCCCCCCCCCCCCTGTATAAGCAAAAATAAGAAAATTGCAAACTCACCCCTCTCCCAAATGATAACATGATATGAATATGAAATAAGAAAGTAGACTACCGTTTTTGGGTCAACTAGGATTTAATGTCACTTAATTTTATTTCACATAAAAATTATACCAATTTATTTTAGTAAATGGCCTAAACATTTTATGAAAATCTAACCGGAATCATGAAATCTGAAAAAAAAAAGGATACTGTTGTTTTGATGTTCTGGCTAATGTAATATGAAAAAAATGCGTGTAACAAACAGGGGTATGACAGTCTTCAATAGCTTGCTTTACATTGATACTAGTGCCATCTCACAGGCATTAAGAGCACTACAAAGTTTTTACACCTTTCGTTCAAGAGATGGCGCCACTACCCACATTAATATAATTTATTATTTATTTCAATAAATAAAAAATCTGTTATTATTTTATTGTAAATAGGGTAAACAGTACTAATGTTGGCACTCCTTCAATGATTGGCACTACTATTTTAATCTGAATATTAAGAATGTTTTCCTTTTTCTATATCACAGCTACACAGTTATTGCTAAGAAATATAATTACTTATACTAACTTATCTTCACGCACAATCCCTGACGGGGTAGCCAGAGAGAACAGATCGCCAGGTGTCGCGATCCTTACATACCTCTTTCGCTTCTTTCAGATTCATTATCTTCTTCATACATGCACGTCTAGGTATCCGAGTACTCTTGACCCTACCCTCTTCGAGCATTTTGCTCACATGGTCTTTGAAAGTTAGTCTCGGTCTACCTCGACACCTTTTAATATTAACTTTCGCGCTATATATTTTCTTCACCATTCGGTCTTCACTCATTCGCTCAACGTGCCCAAACCACCGAAGCACGCCCTTATCAATTTTTGTGATAAGGTCATCTTTCAAACCTGCCATATTGCGAATCTCTTCGTTTCGCTGTCGGTCGGCCATGGTAACGCCGCACATTTTACGAAGAGATCGCATCTCCACTGCATTCAACTTGGTTTTATGCTTCTTCTGGCATACCCAGGTTTCGCTGCCATATAACAAAGTCGGTACCAACACTGCGTTATGTATTGCAAGGCGTGCACTCTTCACTACGCCTTGCCTTTTGACTAACGCAGTCAGGGCACCATTGACTTTGTTCCCGGCAGCGACACGCCTGTCCACATCTAAATCACATCTTCCATTCCGGCTAAAAGCACTTCCCTATGTATACAATTTCATTTATTTGTTCTAGACATTCCTGATTTACCCATATTTCACACTTTGTTCTCTCTTCGTCCCTTTCAAATACCAGAACCTTAGTTTTATTAGCGTTCAAACGGAGACCTTTAATTTCACATTCCTCTTTCATACACGTGACTAATGCCTGCAGTTCTGCCTCTGATGATGCAGTAAGCACTGCATCATCAGCATACAGCAGACAATTTACTTTTATGTCACCCAATTTCACACCCAAACAGCTATCTTTCAGCTTTTGTAAACAGCTGTCGAGATACAGTATGAACAGCCAGGAAGACATGACACAACCCTGTTTTACGCCCGTTTGGACGCTAAACATGGGTGACAGGTCATGCCCTACCCGCACACAGGCTTTACAGTCACAGTAGAGAGACTGCACAGCCCTTAGCAATCGACCATCCACACTATACCCCGGCAACAGTTCCCACATTTTCTTCCTTACAACCTTATCAAATGCTTTCTCAAAATCCACAAAAGCACAGAAAATCTTCTGGTTAGCAGCCAGAAGCTTTTCCGTGATCATGCGGAGAGAAAACATTTGATCCGTGCATCCTCTTCCAGGTCTAAATCCGCATTGTGCCTCCCATAGAAATCTTTCCGATTTCTCTTGCATCCTACGTGTCAAAACCTTTGAGTAAACTTTACTTGCTAAACTGGTCAAGCTGATCGCCCGATAGCACCCGCAGTCAAAATGTGAACCTTTACCTTTATATAAAGGCACAATGACTGCGGATCGCCAATCATCCGGGACATCCCCCGTCCGCCAGCACAAATTGCACAGCAGATGAAAGCTGTCCCAGACGTGAGGCCCACCATACTTGACCATTTCAGCAGTAACTCTGTCTAGTCCCGCAGCCTTACCACATTTCAAACTTCGAATCGCACGTTCAATCTCTTTCATACTGATGACCTCAGTGTCATCAAGGTCCGGGTCTGGCGTACCAGTCACGGCGTCATCCCCGGATCCCTCACTAAGATCATCACACGCATACATTTCTCTATAAAATTCGCTCCATCGCTGCATGACGTCCGATTTTTCTGAGAGGACGTCATTAGTTCTCGAAAGCACTTGTTCATTCTTAAGGCCGTCGCACCACTTCGGGTCCTACCAACCTCTTTCCAGAAGAGTTTGGAGTTCTCCTTAAAATTGTGCGACAACCTTTCGTCCGCTTCCATTCTACACCTTTCACGCACTTCCTCAATCAATGCTTTCGTATGAACTTTCTGCAGCCTATATCTTTCTTTCATCTTCTCTCTCATATCCTTATCATTACTAGAGGCCAAGTAGTCTAACCATGCTTTCTTCTTCTTCTTTACAGCTTCTTTCACTTCATCATTCCACCATGCATCTCTTCTTTTACTACTGCCTCTTTTTATTGTTCCACACACTTCTTCCGCTGTACTTACCATTTCATCCCTAAGGTTCTGCCATGTTATTTCTACACATTCGTTTCTGCCATCGATGGTGTCAAGCTTTTCGGCTACCCTCGCATGATATTTGTCCCTAGTATCCGCTTCCTGAAGCTTCCAGCTTCGGATGCGACAGACCGACTGTGGTGCTGTCACTGCCGTCCGGTAGCGCCAACCCGCGAACAGACCCCTAAATCTAGTAATCACTAGATAGTGATCCGTTCCCAGGTCAGCACCCCTGAACACTTGCGTATCCATAACCTGTTTTCGCAGTCGGTCATCCACCAGGAACAAATTGATCATACTTCTCTCATTCTTTCTTTCTCTAGTATACATATGGATTTTCTTGTGATTAAACATAGTGTTTGTCACAAGAAGACCCTTTTCCTTGCGTACCGCCAGTATAAGCTTGCCAGCATCATTAACCCTTTTATCGCCAAACTTTCCAAGTACCGACTCGTACCCTGGTCGAGCGGTACCAACCCATCCATTCAAATCACCACATACAACAATTCTTTCGTTTCCCCTAGCCAAATCTAGAACTTCTCTTACATTCTCCCAAAACTCCTCCAGCTCAGCCCTGGACGACGAAGCTACCGGCGCATAAACAGCCAAAAGGAATAACTTCGTCAGTCCCAATTTAAAGCGAACCCAGAGAAGTCTTGAGTTCACAAACTTATATTCAGTCATAACATCGACCAACCGAGAAGACAGCAGCACCCCCACCCCCTGGCAGGCGTTCTCGCTCTCCGGGACTCCGGACCATAGAGCTAACGCCCCGCCAGGGAGCTCTTCAGTACCACTGCCCTTCCGTTTGGTCTCCGACATACACACGACATCTAATTCTCTTTCTTTCATTATTTCGATCAACTCATTCGTCTTATCTCTCATGCCTCCTCTAACATTCCACGTGCCAACTCTGCACTCTGTCCTCCACCTTCCGCCGTGTCGGGCTGTGCGTGACGGGTGGCGGTCCGCGTCGCCGCTTTGCGCGCTGCATTCCACACCAACGGGGACGAGCTGGTGTGCGTCGCCTTGGGGGGACGCCCTAACCCTCGTTGGCATGGCTGCGCAGCTGAGTAGAATTGCAGCCCTGAAAAGGGCTGGCAGGGGTCGCGACGAGCACGCTTCTACAATGATACTAAAAATACACATTTATATTTAAAACGTCAACTATTTTCTTATAAGGGCTGTTTTAAAATGTGTGTTGACAAATCCGTTAAAATTTAACAAAAAGTTAAGGTTTTATGGCTAGATATTGAGCCAAAAATGTGATTTTTAGGTAAGTTTATATGCAAGTTTCTGTCTATTTGTATCAATTTACGTCATTAAAGCATATTAAACATTATTTTATCGTTGTGAAATAGAAGCATCTGTTTTTTTAATTGTGCCAATGACTATACTATAATTTGTTTGACAACATAATCATTGGCATATATGTCAATCACTATACTTTTTTCTTTTTGTCCAAAATCTATTCTTGACACTGCCAATGACTATATCCTTTGAGTAGTGCCAATGATTATGACTGACCCTTTTCATATTTGGATTGATGAAAAATAGCACTATTAAGAGCGGGCGCTTTAGAAAAATAACTGCCGCACTAACATTTAACATTCCACGCGCGAATTTACAGTTCCCACTAAATAAGTAAAGTTAAAAAAAACTAACAAGCTGAAAAGCCGACCTGGTACTGGCACAGTTTTCGATGTCATAAAAATGTCAATGATGTGGGGTTTTTGAATAAATACCCCATACATAGTAAACCGTTTTATAGAGGGTGGATAAAACGTCTATGAGGTGGATCATGCTTAATTGAAGTCTTGCATCACTGTTCTTTGTAGTAGATGGTAAAATCTATTATTTTCCCCCTATAGAAAAAGATGTTCAAAAGTTAGTGCCTAGAGAGAGGGTTATTTACTATCTTAAATACGGCGCAACTTTGCCCAAGTCTCGCCATAATACTTATAACCCTTAGCCTGAATACAATGCGACTATTGCAACCAGCTGACATCACTGCATTTCGGCCCATCAAAGATATGTGGCGTAAACCTGTCTTCAAATGAAGGACAAACAATTTGACAAAAAGGTTACTAAAACAGATGCAGACCTATATTAGTAAGACTTTGAACGTTTTGAAATAAATCTACATTATGAAATGGTTTTGAGACATGTGGGTTGTGCCCATTTAGTCCAAACCAAGTGGATTAAACAAAGTGGCCGATGCCCTCGAAATCACCCCAGCAAGCCAATTATCAAATATTTTAAGAATAACGACTGAATCAGAAATTCCTGTATCAAATTTGCCTTGTATCCTTACACTTAATAATGGTTTATCAGTACCAGAGCGTATACAACCTGCAGAGATTTTTGTTGAGTATCAGAAAGAAAAGTAACCCTTGTGTTTTTCATCAGCTAGGCAGCAAATTTAAGATTTGTTGGAGGTGAATGGGTGATCGTGGATGTCGAAACAAACAAAAATCTTTTAGAAAGCCCTAAAAATATTTATAGAGTTTTTTCCATTGTCAAATACGTATCAAAAAGCAGGTAAACAATGCCATCATTTTGTGCTAATGAGTGAAGATTCGGAAGCAGCGGGGCTAAAAAAATAATGGAAAAATTGGGAACAAATGGAAAATGCAGAATTGAATTAGTCAGCCAAATATAGAAACAAACTGACAAACAAAACAAGATGAAAGAAGCCAAAAACTCTGACATTATAATACTCTCTAAATGTTTAATCTAAAAAACCGAAATAAAGTTCTATTTCTACAAAATATCGAGAAAACACGAAAGGTTTTACTAAAAAAGTCACATCAAAAATGTATACGAAGAAAGAAAAAAAACATAGTAGACCAATGTAACTGCTTTCAGATGAAGATCTAAGGAAAATTTTTGAAGAAGATTTGTTTAAAATAAGTGTTATAACAATAAATTTGGAGCTTAGAAAGATCTGGGTATAACTTTTTAAGACTTCCAATGGTGCCAATGATTATACTTAATGTACAGTGCCATTCACTATGCTAAAGTGCCAATGATTGTAACATTCCCTAGAAAAAAGTTTAATTAGATTTTTAACTTAATTAAACATTTCTTTTTAAACATAATGCGTTATTTTATTTATGGCTATCTAAACTAAAATCCAACAAAACAATACATTTTTTAACAAATTTGTTTATTTACGAGAATTTACCACTTACAAGTAAAAATCCGCTTAAAGTGCCAATCATTATACTGCTTACCCTACTATAATGTTTTGAACATTAGGTAGCCAGGGGTATAAAAGTCCTATGTAGCTGGCTTTTACGTTGATACTAGCACCATCTCGTGGTCGTTAAGAGCACTATTTTCCCCAATAATTTTACTGATTTTATTAAAAAGATGGTGTTTATTATTTATACCGAAGCCTAAATCATATTTTATTTGTTAATTTATCAGTATTCCCGCTAGATATGGTAAAACTAATATTATTTTTGTTATCTTTAGTTTATAAAAAATAAATCAACATGGTATTTCATTAAGTTACGCCTCCTTTTTTAAGAAACATTTTTTGGCCATGGGTATCCAAGTATGGTATCCAAGTTTCTACATCATTAACAATTGGTAGCACATCTTCACAATAACAAAAATAGTACTATTAATTTAGATTATAAATATTGTTTTAAAAATATTTTAAAGTAAGAATAATTTATAATTTAAAAATAAAAATTTTGTACAGCCAACTTCAATATAAGTTATTAAGAATAATTCAAAAACTAGGTCTGACCTTGATAAAATTCATATGGGACCACATGTGACAAAAGTTATGAGTGAGTAAAAAGTTATGAGGTAACACACATTAAAAAAACATACAGTCGAATTGAGTACCGTCTCCTTTTTGGAAGTCGGCAGAAAAAATCATTTAAGTCTGTTTTTTGTAATTCGAGTTATAAGAGTACAAATATGTAATATCAATACTTTGCAGGGAAATAACATATTGTTTGATTATAAAGGCTAAATGATTAAAGGTACCACATATTATATAGGGGTTCAGAGGAAAGTAAGGGCGATTTTTTTTCGTTTTCGATTTAAAGAGGTTTGAGTTATCGTGATTCCATTGTAATATTCTTGCTTTAGTGACTTGCCAATAGTAACTGTTATTATTTTAGATTATTATTTACCAGCGATCCGCCCCGGCTTCGCACGGATGATTTCTGAATCTCGACAACAGCGCCACCTGCCGGGTTCAATTGTGAATCTAAACTATTCTTGAATCAACTTAATCACAAACACAAAATTTAATCAAAACCAGTCTAACCATTTAGGTGGAGTTCTTACTATTATAGATAACCCTTTACTCTAGTAAATTAGTTCATTGTGAGAAAAGTGTGATTTGAAAGAATTAAGGAAGGAATGTTTCGGTAGTATGGACATATAGAAATATATAATGAGGAAAAAGTGACAAAGCAAATAAAGCAGATGTCGCCGACGATATTTTTCTCGTTTCTGTCATGCCACATCCCCGTCACGTCCGGATGCACATCCGTAACGTATGAATTTTCACGTACATTTTCTAAGAAACAATATTTCCAAAATTTCACATCCCGCTCCGTCCAGAATAAAACATGTTATGTATGCAGCCACCAATATTTAGTCCTCACGGGTGACAAAGCATCTGAATGAATCTTTAAGGATAAATGTAGACTGCTATGTAGGTATATACTTAGTCTGCAATTATTTGCCTATGATTATACACTTATCGTTCCAATTACTGATTACTGAATGATGACAGATGGTATATGAGGCAGCAGCTTTTTACATCTATATTTATCAGACAGAGGGATCTAACAGAAAAGTTCTTTTTGCCTATTTTGGACATAGTGATGTTTTAAAAGTATCAGAAGGTTTTTTTTTGTAAAATAGGGGTGGCAAACGAGTACACAGTCCACCTATAGACATCTACATTTATCCTCTATCAAGATTCAAAATTAAAATGCGCCGCCACTCCCGAGGACTAAGATGGAATGCCTTGTTTCCAGTAAAAAGGTTCTCTGGTTCTCTACACTCACCATACGAAACACAGCAGCATTTAGATGTATCAACAGTTCATGAGATATAGTGTCACTAGTGTGTTAACAAAGGCATTTATTAGTCCTAATCTCAATGTGATAATTTTTTACATGATGCAATTATGGCTTGCCTACACTGGGGAAGGACCAAATTTGCAAATAATTTGTATATCATATATTGATGATATATTTGTTTTGTATCATGAGCTACAAGAACCAGAGTCCCGCTGGTAACGAGGCATTCCATCCTAGTACTCAGGGGTGATAGCATATCTGCATTTTGTACCATCTTATTGAATATACAAATAAAATTTCTTCAACACTTACTATGGCTCCGTGGTGTAATGGCTTAGCATTGAGTTGCTGCGCTGAGTGCTGAGTGTTCGCATCCCGCACGGAACAATTATTTGTAAGGCTCACAAATAATTGTTCTGGATCTGCATGTTCTTGTGCAATTTACTGTACTGCCTCCACGTTACAGGAGAAAATCGGAGTAACGTTTTATAAAAAATTAAATAAATAAAATAATTGTTCAAGTAATTCCTTTCTGAATAAAAATCAAATACAACAATATATACTTCTCTCTCTGCTTCTAGGTGCGAACTACTCTCGGTCCTCGTGGTATGGACAAGCTAATTGTGGATCACAATGGCAAAGCAGTCATATCTAATGATGGAGCTACTATTATGAAGGTAATTTAATTGTTTATTGTAAATTATTTTAATCATTGCTAAGCAAATTTAAATTTCGCTATAATTGCCATGCTTGCAAGATATAAGATTAGGATCATTAGTTAGAAATTCAAATATATTTTTAACATTTCCTTAAGTCAGCTTCTACAGTAGGTACCCTAAAGTTGCAATCTCAAACATTAATTTATTGCTGTTTTATGAAAAAAGCAACATTATTTTTAAAATCTAATCAATTAACTCACTTTCATGTATGTTTATTCGAGTCGATTTTGGCAATACATTTTAAAGTAACTTCCCTTTAAAGAAATTTTGAACATAGTACTCCGATGACAATGTATAAAGATTAGAAAAAAGTGATATATTAAAAAATATTTGTTCACTTAAAATTGACTATAATGGAGTTGTTTTTTTTACTTTTGTTTTGGCTTTAGTTTGGTCTTAATAAAAATCTGTTTAAAAAATACTGATTAAGGGAATAGATTTTTCAATATTGTATGGATTAACAGCTGCCATGATTGACATCTCTGATTCCGGTGGTCTCCAATGTCAGGTTAACAATATTAATAATACCCTGTGTTTATGCCCAAATTTGGTCATTTTCGAACGCCATCCAATTGCGTTCGAGCTGGCGCCTCACCCGACGGTATATAGGTGAGCTAAACGCCGAGGTGGGGCGGCCGTGTGCGGCTTGCAGTGGCTCGACGCGTGGGTGAAGAGGTGAGAGTTGTTCACTGGTCGCGAGGCGGTGAAGCCGCATATCTAGGTCATCGCGGCCGAAGGCACGCGGCCGAGTAGGGTCCAGATAGTTAGATTTGGCGGGTACTTCGCTACGTGTATATGTGAATTTTGCAATATTTAACTTGTTCAGGAGATGCGGAATGGTGCACGCGCGCGCCGAGTATATATACGGTTTAGGATTCCAAACGTGCATTCCTTGGTCGAGAGCGTCTCCCGGTTAATTGTATGGAAATCATGATAATTGTGCCGTCGCGTTAAGTGCCCCCTTTTGTGTGTTGGTTGGTTCGTTAGTTTACGTGTCAACGAGGCGTATGAACACTACTTGCCATTCACCTTACACCCACTCACGGCCTGACCGAGCCTTGGTGCGAAGTTGGCTTCTGATACTGATTTGTACTATATGTTTCTAGCATTCTCCCATATAGTTTATTATGATAGAACATTCTTCCACATGGCCATTGGGCCCGACTTGCGTCTGCCCGTCGAGGAAGCTGCTATGGGCCCCAGCCAAGACGATCTCTCCAGGGGCAGCTGTTAGGCCGTAACACCCTGATTGGCAGTGGGAAAAGTCTTAAAGTTGCAAGATATCTGGCACTATGTTTGCCAGTCCATTTGCCAAGTATGGCAATTTTGGTAGACTGAGCATGTTTACCCCATAGTTGTCAATGATTAAAAAATATCACCACCATGGTTATAACCTGGTTGCTCCTACCGCACATATCACAATATTTAAAAATGGGCTTACAACCATTTACCTAAAAGCCCTCCAGTGTAGTAAATTTGAAATAGTACTTAAGAAAATGCTTGTTGTAAAAAGCTATTTTAATTTTAAGTGAATATTTTAATGATAAATTAGAAATTTTAATTTTTTATTTCTTATTTCTATTTACTTATTTGACATTGTTAATATTTTCATCAAAATCTTTTAATCTTTTTTACATAAATGAAAAATGACCAATAGTTGAGATTAAATATTTATTGACATTCAATTTTAAAATAAATGTGTGTATTATTTAGTTTGATATTTAATAAATAAATTAATAATAATGTATAGATTATGTACAGTAAATATTGTAATTTAATTTAATTCTATATTAATTAACATTTAAACTCGGTCTTAATATGCTACGCCCGTACAGGATGTCACATGCTCTGTAAATAAATATATTGTAACAGCTTTATACTTTGTGACATGCAATAAATGAATTATGAAAATTATGAATTGTATGTGTGGATCTTGATAATAGACATGAAACAAGTTATTCTAATGGAAGATTCAAACGCACTCTAATCAAATTGCTTCAGAAAAAAAAAAAACTAGTAATGCTATTAACATTTGCAATACCGCCGTCAACCACTCTTAAGTGAGCGTAAAATGCTTGTGTTAAAACTCGTCCACCACAGTAGTTGCATGGCGGGTTCCCGTAGTATTAGGCTACTGTTGCTTTAGTGATGCAATATAAACAATTTATTATAGCATGTGTGACATGAAATAAGTGAAATTAATGAAAAATTTGTTTGTCAACTGTATTTTTAGGGTTCTGTACCCAAAGGGTAACGAATGGGTCCCTATTACTAAGCCTCCGTTGTCAGTCTGTTCGTCTGTCTGTCATCGGGCTGAATCTCATGATACATAATAGGAAGACAGTTGGAATTTCCGCAGAATGTGTATTTCTGTTGCCGCCATAACAACAAATAATAAAAATTAAAATAAATTAAAAGGGGCTCCCATACTAAAAACTTGTATTACGATGGTACGGAACCCTATATGCGCGAGTCCGATTCGCAATTGGTTTTAATTTATTTTTTTATTTAAATCTACAATTTCGAAATGAAGTTCCTCTGACCGAGATGACAGTAAGTGACATGCACCACCCCATTTCGGCCTGTGAGTCTCGGAAGTGTGAACTACGGTAAATTCCGGAAGCATCCTATGGCTTCCGACAGATTTACTGGTATTTACTAATGTGCTAGAGTCATGCTACAACTATAATGTTGTTGTAACATGAATGGGTCAGCTCGAGTGGAGAAGGACAACACTCTCACAGAATGCCAGTGTAAAATAGCGACTCAATGTTGCTGTGTTTTGTATGGTGAATGTAGAGAAGAGAACCAGAGACCCTTATTACTGAAAACAAGGTATTTCATCATAGTCCTCAGGGGTGACAATACATCTGCATTTTGGTTCTTAACTGACGATATATATAGATGTCTATGGGTCAGATTATGCTATTTTTGTTCGTAGACTGTATGTTTAATTGTCACCCTTACTCTATTTTAAAAAAATCCTGTTGGTTTTCAGCTTCTGGATATCGTGCACCCAGCAGCCAAGACTCTTGTGGACATCGCGAAATCCCAAGATGCTGAGGTATGTTGCTAAAAAGACTAAAATTAAACTAAAATATGATATGTGCAAAAATTTTGTATCTTAGTGACTTGAACCTTAAACATTGTTCTTCATATTCGTTCATACTTCTATATAAATAAATAAAATTTAAGTAATGTCGATGTGAGCAATGTCAGTGTTCTAGGGTATATTATATTCCAAAAACGTGTAGATTTTTTTTGAAATGAAAAAACTGCCAAAGAAATGGTAGGATAATTATCTTGATAGTTATCCCGCGCAACCCTACCGCTCGCGGACCGCAGAAAGAGACTGATCTAAAAATTGGGTCAGGCCACAGGCAAATGTGTAGAGGAGCGCTTGTCTGGTCTAAATGATTAAAACAACGGATCCAATTTCCTAATTGACTTAAGGAAACTATACATATGATTTTACTAAGTTATCCTATAAACAATAAACAATTTTTACAATTTTTTAAGTAAATTATATTTGTCTCCAGGTAGGAGACGGCACTACATCTGTGGTGATTCTAGCTGGAGAGCTTCTGAAGAGGTTGAAGCCTTTTGTGGAGGATGGTGAGCATTTTAAATATACAACACTTGACAAAAACCCCGTGTAGCCCGTTAAGTGCATTAACTATCAGAATCAGTATTCAAACGTAAAGAAATAACTTCAGAAAACTCAATTGTATAAAAATTAAAATATATATTTTTTATGGTTGAGTTATTACCTCTGCATTGGCCGGTTATTTACCGCCTATATGCGTCCCACTGATGAGCACAGGTCTCCTCTCATTTCAGACAGGGTTTTAGGGCCGGCCCCAATGGCTGGCGAACTTCTGTCTTCGAAATATTTTTTCTTCTTATTTCTCAGAACAGGTTTCTTCATGATGTTTTCCTTCACCGCTGACTTCAATATAAGTTATTAAGAATAACTCAAAAATGATTGGTCTGACCTTGATCAAATTCATATGGGACCACAAGAGAGGTATCAGCTTTCAAATAAAAAAAGAATCATCGAAATCGGTTCACCCAGTAAAAAGTTATGAGGTAACACACATTAAAAAAAACATACAGTTGAATTGAGTACCGTCTCCTTTTTGGAAGTCACCAGACTAAATAGTGCCTTTCAATAAGTATTATTTATAATCTATATTGAATAAAAAAGTTTCTGTTTCTATGGTTGGGCTTAGATTTAATTTTATTAATTGCAGAATCCCCAGCAGATGGTAGCACCCATTCATTTCTTCTATTGAAATTTTGATGTAAATTTCAATAGCCTCGCGAATCATCCTTGGTAGGTGATACTTTGTGCGAATTCGTGGTCTATCAAATCTGATATGCTGCTATTTTAAGCTGGTATTCTGTGAGAGCGTGGTCCTTTTCCGGTCGAGCTGACCCATTCGTGCTACATCTATACTACTAATATAGCTGCACATATCTATACTACTAATATAGCTTCACATAAGCGATATGTTCATTCACGCGGGTTTTTATGAATCTTTTATATTGTAAAATTGACACAAATTCATATTGTCTATTTCGCTTTCAGGTGTGCACCCACGAATTATTATTCGGGCCGTGCGTACAGCGGCGCGTCTCGCCATTGAACGAGTCAAGGAGCTCGCTGTCAAGGTTGAAAGCCAGTCGCCGGAGGAGCAGAGGTAATGAACATGGCTTGACGTGGAATACTGTAGAATAGATCATTCAGTGTTCAATTTTAAACATTGCCAATGATTAAAACATACGGATCCAATTTCTGAAGTGGTTGTGTGGACCTTGATAGTAGAAATGAGGCAATGCATGTTGTACAATTAACATTATACTATATTAAAAATAATTATGTTTTTTTTTTTTAATGAAAAAGACCCGCTGGGCTTCTAAGCTTGTTGGTAGTTTCTTGTAACTATTAAGACAACATTTAGTTGTTAACTTGAGCTTGTGATAATATCCTCCAGACCGTATTTCGGTCACGGTGACTAGTCTTTATATAATAAAAATCTCTGTCTCTAAAAAAAAGTCTAATGAAGTCAGCAAAAAAGATGTTTCAATATACTTAATGTGGTCCTTGCAAATTCTAGCTATGACATATGTGATTATTTCCAGGGAACTTCTACGCAAGTGCGCGTCTACGGCGATGTCATCGAAGCTGATACATCAGCAGAAGGGCCACTTCTCACAGATTGTTGTGGATGCTGTACTGTCACTAGACGCTCCGCTTCTGCCGTTAGATATGATTGGTGAGTAAAATTACTGTTATAAAATATAAACGAATCAATGCAAAAGTCTCTTACGGTTTCTTGACAGATGGTGAAATGATAGATTTTTTTATAGAATAAGGATGACAAACGAGCACGCAGTTCACCTGATGGTAAGTGGATGCTGTGACCCATAGACATCTACTTGTATCCTTGAATAAGAATCAAAATGCAAATTTGTTGTCATTCTTAAAGATTAAGATTGTGTCTTATTTCCAGTAAAAATGTTCTTTGGTTCTCTACACTCACCAAATAAAGCACAGCAGCCTTAAGCTGTTATTTTACTTTGGTATTCTGTTATAGTGTGGCCCTTCCCCGGTTGAGCTGACCCATTCATGCTACACTATAATATAGAAAGAGAAAAGAAATCATCATCATCATCATCATGATTCTGTTATAGTGTGGTCCTTCCCAGGTTGAGTCGACCCATTAATACTACACTATAATATAAAAAGAAAAATAAAATAAAAAATATATTAGTTTATTTGACACATACATTATGATAAAGAAAAATAAAACAAGTAAAACAATAAAAAAAAATTTTTTTTGATCTTAACAAAAATTAAAAAAAAAAAGAAATAACTTAATATGCACCAAAATGGTTTCCAAACAGGTTTAAGTCACGAAATGAAGATATATAGATAATTCCTAAAGCTGATTTTCAATGGAGCTAGGAGTGTGAGGCAGATGACACAACAGCAAAAAGAAAACAAACATATAACAATATTATTACAGCTACAGCATGGCTTTACCACAATTTGATGGCAGCGAGTTGGAACTTGAATTACGAGTCTGCCTGTGAAGTGTGGTGATTACACCATATCTTCACAACTTAGAAAGGATCCACAGTGGGCTATTTATTATGTATTGATGTTGATATAAAAATATTGCCGATGATTAAACAAATGGATCCAATTACTGAATTTAGTGTGTGGATGTTGATAGTAGACATGAGGCAATATCTAGAAATATCAACATGGATGCTTTCCAGCTTCTGGTGTTCAAAATATCCTCACAATCGTCATACAGATCCTTGTTAATGGTGTGTTGTCTTAAAATAATTCTTACTCAGGCATCAAGAAAGTGTCAGGAGGTGCTCTAGAAGACTCCTTCCTGGTCTCCGGAGTGGCCTTCAAGAAGACATTCTCGTATGCCGGTTTTGAGATGCAGCCAAAGAGCTACGAGGACTGCAAGATTGCTCTACTCAATATCGAGCTTGAGCTGAAAGCTGAGAGGGATAATGCACAGGTAACTACAGCCTTTTAGGGGTCTACTATGCTTTTTTAAAGATAAATCAGTTGGGCTTTGCATGTGTTTGTTTTTGTAAAATTGAAACGACAAACAAACTTACAGTACACCTGATGTTTTTTGGCTGCTGAAGTCCACAGGCTCTCTATAAACTTCAGATGGGAACATATTAGTGCAGGCACTGCTGTCTGGCTACATTCACCCAGACAGAATTCTAGGTAAGATAGGAGTTGTTCATCAGTTAGCATAATGGGAACAATTAATTCTATGTGGTAGAGCCATGCTGCAGCTACATTATGGTTGTAGTCGCAAAGCCAGTGGATCGAGCCGGTCGGAAAATACTTGATCGTTACCAATTCGGGCCACTCTCCATTGAATACGATCAAGTGGAAGGAGCCGAACCTGGGGTGTTCCGGGCTAGAAATGAGAACAGTATTCCATATATGGCGGAACCTGTACTTTGTAAAGCTGCAAGTGGTGGGCCGGCATGAAATACCGTATTAATCTTCTGAGCACACCAAACTTTTTATATATAACTAGCGATCTGCTGCGGCTTCACAAGTGTGATATCTGTTTCATATGGTGAGTGGAGAGAACCTTTATCCTCACTGCTGACAACACATCTGCATTTTGATTCGCAAACGAAGATAGATGTCTATGGGCCACACAACCACTTGCCATCAAGTGGACTGTGTGCTCGTTTGACCCCCCTATCCTATAAAAAATAAATACCAGGCCTGTGCATTGTCACCAGTGCCCTGGGGTAAATCAGATGGTTATGCCAAGCCATAAAGATTTTCCAGTTTCTTTTACATACATTAGGGTGATGAATGCTCTTCATCATTTCATGATTATAACAATCGGATCCAATTACAGAAGACCTGTTGACCACCTCAATATATGACCTTACACTAGTACATACACCCTTATCCCTTATAGTGTCACCTACAATGTTACAACTGTTCTCTGTTCCCCATCCCATGCAGATCCGTCTGGATAACGTGAAGGAGTACCAGAAGGTTGTGGACGCAGAGTGGCAGATCCTGTACGAGAAGCTGGCAGCGCTTCATGCTAGTGGTGCTAATGTGGTGCTGAGCATGTTGCCCATTGGTGATGTGGCCACACAGTACTTCGCTGACCGGTGAGGATATTGTTACTGCCACATTTAATTTATTCACAAATTAATATATTCCCGTATTTTAAAGTTAATCATATTGACAAATCAGATTTCAACTGGCACTCTCTGTTCTTAGTCGCACGCATGGTGTTGTATATCATACTGTCTCCTTTCGCTTTTAACAACGCATCTATACATCTGTTTACATTATCATAAATATAAAATCACGGCCTTGGACTGTTTTTAATTTGTGTTACTGTGCAATATAACTCAGATGCAATGCTGGAGTATAACCTGAGAAGAGATTTGTAGCTGAACATCGCCACGTTAGTGCGTGCTCCATTCCCCATATGTCAGTTGCCGATTCAAAATTTTCCAACCTTATTCTGCAAATAGACCATTTTCCGCACCAGATATTGAGAGTTTAATGTAATATAGTATGTATAGGTGACATTTTTTATCAATTGGAAAATAATATGGTGTGTTGTGTATGTGGGATAGGAGCTATTCCCTATAGTAATTCTATCTTTTTTAAATTTGTTTCATCATCATCATCATCACCATCAACATAATTACAGCTCATCACAAGTCACTGTTAAACATAAGCCTCCCCCAAGGAATGCCACAAAGCATCTAGTCCTGAGCCACCTGCATCCATCGATTTCCTGAATCTCATGGAGCAATGTTAGACCTAATTCCATCATTTTTTTACGTGGTAGAGCCAAGCTGCAGCTATATTACTGGTATAGTTGTAGCACGAATGGGTCAGCTCGACTGGGGAAGGACCACGCTCTCACAGAATACCAGCGTAAAATAGCAGCTTAACACTGCTGTGTTTTGTATGGTGAGTGTAGAGAACCGGAGACCCATTTTACTGGAAAAAAGGCATTCCATCTTAGTCCTCACGGGTGACAACGCATCTGCATTTTGATTCGCAAACGAGATAGATGTAGATGTCTATGTGTCACAGCAACCACTTACCATCAGGTGGACTGTGTGCTCGTTTGTCAGCCAATCCTATAAAAACAAAACAGCCAGGTGAACTGACAACTGCAGTTTTTTTATTACTTTAAGCTGTTATCACAAAGATGCTGCTGCCCATCTCCTAGTCCACAGGGTGATATTTTTTTTTATAGAATAAGGGTGACAAACAAGCACACAGTCCATGTGATGGTAAGTGGTTGTTGTGACCCATTGACATCTACACCTATCCTCAATAAATAATCAGAATGCAGATTCTCCGGTTCTCTACAGTCACCATACGAAATACAGCAGTGTTAAGCTGCTATTTTACGCTGTTATTCTGTGAAAGCGTGGTTGATCCCCGTTGGAGCCGACCCATTCAAGCTACGCTACTAATATAGATGTAATTTCGCTCTACCACATATGAAAATATTTTTAATATAGAGTAGTGTATGTAAGATTTTAGTGTCGGGCTGTCAGGTGCACTCTCTATTCCCTCTGTTTTAATAGCTCACAAAGCGATGATAATCCGACACGACCGTACAGAGTTCAGGCGCAGGACCAACGGATTTATGTGCTTTCTCAGACATGGGGAAAAAATCGCTCCAAATTAAAAATTTCTTGACAGAAAATCTTAATATCTGATTATTTAGCACCATAAATGACATAATAAAACACCTATGCAGCAATAATGGAACTCAAAAATATTTTTTGAACTCTAGTGACATGTTCTGCGCGGGTCGAGTCCCAGCGGAAGACATGAAGCGTACGCAGCGCGCTTGTGGGGGCGCCGTGCTGAGTTCAGTGCGCGACATGAAGCCCGAGAGCCTGGGATGTTGCCAGCACTTCACCGAGAAGCAGGTCGGAGGGGAGAGATACAACATATTCACCGGTGAGGTTTGATCTTCTTCATTACCTGTTAGAGTCCATTGTTAAACATTGGCCTCCATCATAGATTGCCACATATTTTATGCAGGTTTTATTATTTTTAGTTGTAATCAAGAAGATGCTGCTTTCCATCTCCTGATTAGTTTCTCCCTGTCGCCTCTTACTCACCCACGGAATGTTATGTGGTAATGGATTCTATTACTTGGTACGCCGCCACCGCCTTTAATAATCTATACTAATAAATAAAATTGAAGTGTCTATTTGTTATGCCAAAATTATAGCTTTTTACTAAATGCATATGAAAGTGTATACGGTACTTATAATTTTAAAAAAATGTTCCGGATAGTCTCCAGCTAGACCGATATTGTCGGGACTTTCACTGGCAGATAGCTGATGTTATAATGAGTAACTTAGGCTACTTTTATTTTAGAAAATAAGTTAGGATTTCGTGAAAAAATATTAAAATCCAATGGTTATAAATTCCATGCGTTTGAAGTCGCGGGGAACAGGTAGTATGAAACAATTTATGCAATTACATGACTCAAACCTTGACAACCTTATTAAAAAAAACTAAAATATAATTAGTTGAACTAGAGTCTCATTCAATAAAGTAAACCCGTGGAAAATATGCAACCAAAATTGTCAAAGTCAAAATTGACAACAAATGTCAAATTTTCAAAGTTAGTGCTGCTCTCAATACTCATAACACTGTTCTTTAAACCTGGGACTATCAATAAACGACGCTCTGAAATAATACCGTCAGCACACGTGTCAGAGCCACGCTGCAGCTATATTAGTTGTAGCATGAATGGGTTGCCTCCACCTGGGTAGGACCACAATCTCACACACGATCAACGTCAAATAGCAGCTTAATGTCGATGTTTTGTGTGGTGAGTGTAGAGAACAGGAGACCCTTTTTACTGGAAACAAGGGATTCCATCTCAGTCTTCATTGGTGACAATGCATCTTTTTTGATTCTTAATTGGGGATAGATGTCGATGTCTATAGGTCACAGCATCCACATATCATCAGATGGACACTCATATCAACCTTATTATATAAAAAAAGCAATTCAACCTCAGCCACTAAATCTGAATCTAAATCACTGGCCAGCAAGTTACTTTAAAACATTTTATTAAACAATTATTCGTTGTTAGGTCACAACAAGGGTGTTCCTGACGGTGAGATTTTTATTTTTAATTGTTGACAGTATTAAGCAACATATAAATGTAAACTTGTCATATTCCTCCTGTTTACATAAAGAGGCAATTTTTATTCATATCTTTTTGGTAATATCATCATGTGTTTGTTAAATTTGACTTTGGCAGAGAATCATTGGTTAAACAATGGAGCTATTCTGTGAATCTGCCACTGGAGAACCTTTCTGCCTCATCGGTAGTTGGTTCTTTGAGTTATATGGATGCCAATTTAGATTACTGATCCATTTGTATATAGTTTTAGTCAATTAGTTAGTTTAACAATTTGTATTTTTTTTCCCCTTATAGTGTAAAATATCTTAATTAAATCTTAGTTTTAAATAGTTTGTATATAGTTTGTGGTTTAGTTTTGACTTGTAATAGAAAGCAATCAAAAGGGAGAAAACATATTAGTTCGTGGTTAAGCATAACTTAGGGCCGATTTTTCATCGTCAGTAAAAATTTATTTGTACAACACATTTATACAACATAAACCAGGGTTTCCCAACCTTTTTTTAACCAGGGACCTCTTTGAATTTTTGTAGTTAGCAGTTTTTATTATTATTTTAAGTTGTTATCAGGAAAATGCTGCTGCCCTTCACCTGTTTCATTTCCCTGTGTCGCCTCTTACGGCACCCATGGGATGATATGGGATAGTGGATATTCTTAAACCGTCACTACACGGTAGAGAATAATAATATCCTACAGACCAAATTTCACTCACCTCGACCAGTATTAACTGAGACCAGCCATCTGCGCAGGACAGGACAGGGTTATGTGATTGCCCACACACTCATACACTAAAAATTCTATAGTGGTCGTAAGCACGACTGCTGATCAAGTAGCGGAGGATGGTTGGGTCAAAATATGTGTTATTGGGTGTTTCTGTCAAGAAATTCTGAGAAGTAACCTGGGGTTAAGAAATTGGCGGTGTTTCACCCCTGTGCCTCGGAAAACACGCAGAGCCGTTGGTCCTGCGCCTGATCTCTCTCCGGTGTGTCGGATCTATGAGAGTGATGCAATAGAGAGTGCACCTGTACTTGCGCATACTCTTGTGTACTATATATCTTTTCCTGCCGAGAGAGTTTTGGCGGGAACTTGAATGGTGAAGGATTGCTGCTCTTGTTGTTTAAATTTTTGGTTTGAAGTGATAGAAGAAGGAGGAAAGAAGTGAATTTTGATATGTAAAAGTGGTGCGATTTTGTGTATTAAGTGTGCGCATGTGAACTATTAGTAGGAACAGTGAAACAAGTGCTCTGATGGTGATGTGATTCTCAAGATAAGGTGTCTGTCTGCTTAGGCGCTTTGAGATACCATCGCCAAAGTTCAGCTGTCTGCTTGCCGTCAAAATCTCCCAAGGGCTGCACAACGTGACGCATCAACATATTGTGATAATTATACATTGTAACTTCAGGCTCAGAATGGCTAGAACACAGAGCCGTAAGGCCAGTTATAAAAAAAATTCCTGCCGAGATGGCTCATCTACTTTGAACCTGGCCGTCGTGACTGAAATTCGGTCTGCAGGATATTATTAAAGCGCGGGATGGTCATTTGTTTGACATTACTAAGTTTCTTGCTGGTTCTTCACAGGACAGACATTTTTTCCGAACTAGTGGTAAAAGTAAAAAAAAAATATTATTAATAAGAATTACTTGTAATCTATATTGAATAGAAATTAGTCTATTCTAATCTGTGATTCTCAAAAATTGCTTAGTGTAGCATTCACAAATCGGAATCACATTTAACAGGAGCACTTGCAACCGCTTGGGGACAGTAGTCTATGTCAAGCGAGATAATTGTATACAGTTTTTATAATGTGTGTTACATATGTAGGATGCCCTGCTGCCAAGGCCTGTACCATCGTGCTGCGTGGTGGATCAGAGCAGTTCCTGGAGGAGACTGAGAGGTCCCTGCATGATGCTATCATGATTGTGCGCAGGACTATCAAGAATGATGCAGTTGTTGCTGGTAAGTTTCAAACCATCCACCATAATTTATTTATTTATTTTGTATTTGAGTTATAAGTATATATAGAGATAGATTTGTTATAGATTTTGGCCTCAGTAATTGCGTTTACTACCACTAGTATGTGGAGGCAACTGCTGAGGACAATAACATCCAGCTGTGGACTTTACATGCTACTATATTGTGGTTGTAGCATATATGTGTGGGCTCGACCAGGTAAGGACCATTCACAGAAGACCAGCATGAGAACCAGGGAATCCTTATTACTGGAAACAAGGTATTCCTTCTTAATCCCCAGCAATGCATCTGCATTTTGATTCTTAACTGAGGGCAGACGAAGATGTCAATGCATTACAGCATTTACTTACCATCAGGTGGACGATTTGCGCATTGGTCACCATTATTAAAAAAAAACCTAATAATCTCTTAATTAATAGTTTTAATTATAAACAACTTAAGTAAAAGATTAAATTATCGATTGAATACAACCAACTTCTTAACTTTTAATAGGTACTCAAGCCATGGTTTCATAAATAATTGTTCTGTTTCACAGGCGGCGGTGCAATAGACATGGAGATATCGAAGCATCTGCGCGAGTTCTCCAAGGGTATAGCGGGCAAAGAGCAGTTGCTCTTAGCGGCTGCAGCTCGTGCCTTCGAGGCAATTCCTCGCCAACTAGCTGATAATGCTGGTCTTGATGCCACCAGTCTGCTGAACAAGTTAAGGCAGCGGCATCATGCCGGTGAGAATAAATTCTTTTATCAGTTATATTATTTAATAGTTGTACCGGGGGTGTCGGAAGAGGTGACAGAGGGAAATTTACGTGACAGAGATTACGAGTCACGCTGTAGCTATATTATGGTTGTAGCACGATTGGGTTCACGATTAGGTTGTGCCTTGGTAGCTCAGATGGTTAGTGCTCGCTGTAAATTTCACATTCACAGTACGCGAGCAACCTGGATTCGATTCCCGCCGGCACCAATGAAATCGCATTTTAAGTGCTGACTTACCACGTGCTCGGCGGTGAAGGAAAACATCGTGAAGAAACCTGCATGTCTGAGAAATAAGAAAAAAATATATTTTGAAGACATGTGAAGTTCGCCAATACGCATTGGGGCAGCACTGCGGATACTTCCTTGCCCTAAAACCCTCTCAGAAATGAGAGGAAGTCACAGACTTCAGCAGTGGGACATGGGCTGTTACTTTTAACTTTTTTTTAATGATTTTCTTCGCTCGACCGGGATAGGACCACGCTCTCGCGGAATACCAGCGTAAAATAACAGTTTAATGCTGCTGTGTTCCATATAGTGAGTGTAGAGAACCGGAGACCCTTTTAACTGTAAACGAGGCACTCTTTTTCCACAGGGGTAACAACGCATCTGCATTTTCATTGTTAATCGAGGATAAATGTAGATATCTATGGGCCACAGCATGTGTGCTTGCTTGTTTGTCAACCTTATTCTATAAAAAATAAAACAGGAGATTGGAAGTGCAATCTTCCTGAACCTATGAAACTGAAAATAATAAACAGTGTCACTTCTTTTGACCCCCATGTTACGATATAGAAATAGAAAATTTTATTCAATAGATTATAAATAATACTTATTGAAAGTCATTCATAGATTTAATTTACCACTGGTTCGGAAAATACCTCTGTCCTGGAAACAACTACCAAAAAAAACCCAGCAGTACATGCTTTTTGAAAAAAGAACCATTTACAAACCACATATCATGTTACATAATTAACAACACAAAACAAACCAGACATAACTTGGTAGCGATCACCTCATTCCCAGGGATTATCATCCATAAATTCCTTAATCTTATTTTATATTCCTGACGTTTCAAACACTTTTCAGCACCCATGGTCACAGGGGAACTGAGGTGTTTGACGTCCCATTGTCATAGTTAGCCATGGTTACCTTCGGGAAGTCTGCAGTCTGTGATCTGTGAACTCATACAGTGTAAAGTGCTCGAAACGTCGGGAATATAAAATAAGTTAATATACGCGATAAAATCTGTAAAAACTAGTTTTATTTAATTTGATGTGTTCGCGTAAATATAACAATTCATTATAATATCCCTTTTTATACAATTTTCGTTTAATAAAGTTTTTAAACTTGGCGGAGCACAAATTTTGTATATATTGTGGGATTTTGATGCAAAGGCATATACACTGCCCCAAAAGTTAATTACTGACTCTGTGGATTCGAGTAACAGAAATATAAGAATGAAATGTTCAAATTAAAAATCCGCGTAACAAAATAAAACTATGTGTCGTACCTAGTTTAAAGAGCACCGCCCGTCCTCCCTCAATTGCGAGCATTATCCCCGACACCTCTAATCCCAGCACCTGAGATCCTGGGATTGTATAATGGACTTTGGTTAAGAAACACCTGATTCTGGATATTTTTACACCACCCTTTTTTTTTTTTTGCGGATGGATAATCATCAAATGACGCCTTTCGCTCTGGGTGGAGCGGAAGGGAGTGTCAGACTTTTACTGACTAAAAACCATCCGTGTTCCTTCAGTGCCCTTACGTTCCGGAGCCGCGGTATCTCTTTCGAACAGCCCGCAGCCCCGGCAGGCGTCGGCCCTTGCGGGCCCCTTCACGCTGCTGACAGCTCTTTGAGGCGCGCGTGGAACAAAACGCGCCGTCGACACGGCCTGTCGTCGTTAGACGGACGGACGGCGAGCTACCCATTGCTCGCCGTCCACAGGCCCGCGCCTACGGTGGCCGGGGGCCACGACGTAGCCCCCGACGCCCGGGGCCGTCTCCCGCGGCGGCCGGGAAGGAAAGCTGCTGCTCTCTCCTTCTCCCGCTCCGCCACCTCCTTCGCTAGCATCACTGCTTCGCAGAAGGTGGTGACGGCATCCCATTCCGTCTCGCTCCGGACCATGGCTTCGACCAGGGCCGGACGCGAGAGGTCGCTGCCGCCTATCGCCGCTACGAGGACACGGCGGTGCTCCGCCCAGGCAGGGCACACCTCCACGGTGTGCTCCACCGTGTCCTCCGGTCGATCCTCGCAGTGGGAGCACCCGGGCGTTTCCTCCCGCCCGATTCGGTGCAGGAACCTCCCGAACACACCGTGTCCGGTGAGGACCTGCGTCAGGCGGAAGGTGAGGACGCCGTGGCGTCTCTCAAGCCACTCCTCAAAGAGGGGTCTTATCGCCGCTATAGTGGCGTGCCCAGCACGGGGTTGCGACAGTCGCTCTCTCCATGTCGCCATGAGATCATGCCGGAAGTCTGTCCGCTGCACGACAACTTGCCGCGGCAGCGGGGTTTCCCCCCGGCATAGTGCCTCCGCGCGCCATTCGTGCAGGCGCGCGAGGACTATCGCTTCCAGATCCCATGGCGGACCCACCCCTACAGGGTTAATTTTGAATGTGGACTGTTTTAAAAATAGAAAAAAAAAACATGCGTGAGTGTCGTGGAACACTCGGTTGGAACGAAGTTCCTTTCGTGATATATTATTATTGATAAACGTATTATATTATTAATTAACAAATACAAATAAATTAATTACTAACGTCATTGTAGTGTATGCTTATATGTAGTATACAGTAAATATTGTTATTTGTTTTATTTACTAATAATTTACCATGCACAAATACACAAACATACATTTATATATAAGTCACTGTCTCGAGCGCACCGCGTCAGTTACACGAGAGCCTCGGCGAGAGTAGACGTGTTGTTTAGTTAAAGTGCGTGCCGAGCCTGTGTTACACTACAGTGGTTAGAGAAGATAGCAGACATTACAAGTGGCGACGAGGAAAAAGATAAGTACCTATTTAGTATAAAGATATAATCAAAAATAGGTTAGCAATGTGCAACTATTAGCATTGCAATTGTAAATTAATTCCTAGAGTACCCGCGGAAAAAAAACTGTGGATTATGAATTATGATTTATTGTTTTTAACCCTGTTCTGATCATTTTAATAATTTATATAAAATATATGTTCGCATTTGACCACGCTTATGGTGCGCTAAAATTTATTTTCTTTATGTAGCAATGATAAAATAATGATTTATTTTAACATATGTCTATTAGCACAACTTTTATATAAAAAGATTTTTGATGGAAAAATAGTAGATGTTACTAAAAACTCCTCTCGATTCGAACCGAAATACAATGTCGTTAGCTAAATTTTAGTGGCATTTAACATGTAGGTGTGATATTTATCGCCTTTAATGAAAATACTATTTTACTGCTTTCATGGCATATATAAGTCTTACAAAAAATCGTGGACACTTCACGACTTCTGTACATTGCAAAGTAGGTAACTAGTAATACTGTTTATTTATTTATTTGCTTTTTAAGGGAAACATACAGTGCAATAATAAATTACATAATAAAACATATAAAAGTAATCCAAAAAACCAATGAAGTTTCCACAGATATCTAATACATAATAAAAGCAAACCACAATATTATGTTGTATAAAATTAAAAATATAAAAGAATAAAACAAGCTAAATGGTATTCATAAATTAAAACATTAAGTAGTAAGTAGTTAAAAGTAACATTATATATACAACTCAAAGTGATACTACCAATTATATATTAAGTTTTACAATATTTTCTTTGCAACTATCATATTCAAGGTGAAAAATATGTAATATTTACAATATTTTAAGTTAAACTTTTTGCATGTACGAGATACAAAATTATTTGACGCATTTTTTTGTTTAACTTTAGGTAATGCAAAAAGTGGTTTATTTCGTGCACCTAACCTGTGACACGCAAGATTCACCTTGCCTAAAAGTAGGGGAGAGCCGATGATATTATGAAGCAATTTGTACAACAATATTTGATCTCTTATATTACGGCGTTTCTCAGGGTATTGCTGTCTAAGTTATCAATAATGGTAAATGCGCAATATAGGTATTGAATTTACCCAAAGCCTAAATGGCACAGTGATGGAAGTAGTCGGTATAACAAATAAACCGAAAGAGAAGGGCGAGTGTTATGGAACATATTATTATCATGAAACTGAGTTTGGGTATCAAGATACCAATCATTAAATTGAGTTGGGTACTAAGATACCATCATTAAATTGAGTTGGGTACTAAGATACCATCATTAAATTGAGTTGGGTACTAAGATACCATCATTAAATTGAGTTGGGTACTAAGATACCATCATTAAATTGAGTTGGGTACTAAGATACCATCATTAAATTGAGTTGGGTACTAAGATACCACCATTAAATTGGAACTTGGGTACTAAGGTAGGTACCACCATTAAATTGGAGCTTGGGTACTAAGGTAGGTACCACCATTAAATTGGAACTTGGGTACTAAGGTAGGTACCACCATTAAATTGGACTTTGGGTTCTAAGTTACTACCATTAAATTGGACTTTGTGTACTAAGTTACTACTATTAAATTGGACTTTGGGTATTAAAATACCAGCATTAAATTGGAAAAAAAAATATAAGAAACTGTTTCAGTTTACCCCTAAAATAATATTAATAATGATACCGTTATCAGCTTTAATGTGATAGCACATCTATGGCTATAAGGTGTGGAAAATGGAAAAGGTCTCTACTAATCTATCTGGACGTAGCTGAAGTTATATCAGCACTCGAGAAACGAGCTACGCTATTGCATTTTGGTGGCTCTGGGATAAAAGAAACCGTTGATGTATTTTAAGTAGCCATAAAAAAAAACTACGAGTATTTTCAACCTAAACGGAGCAAAGTTTATGAGCGGCATGTTTTTCGATTGCTAAAACAGAAAAAAGGAGAGACATTTGAGAAGTTTTTGATAAGATTGCGTCAACAAGCCGAAAAGTGTATCGAAAGGCAAGATGATCATTTCATAGATCAAATTGTAGAAAAGTGTAATTTGAAATTGCGCAAGAACCTTATATCTTACAAAACGTGGGAAGAGTTAAAAACCAAAAAAGTATATGCTTTTAATCAAATGTAAAGACCAGACAATTAGCATATGGTAGTAACTCTCCTTTGGCAATAGAGGGTTCATTTGAAACTATACTCCAAGTCGATGGACGAAAGGAACATACAACCATTTACGTGATTTCGGGGGGTACTAGAAACCTGTTTGGTAAGAAAACAGCAGTCCGACTGGGTGTCTTAAAACTTGGTATCGGGATAAATCAAGTGGAGAGTAAAAGCAAGCCGATCCCCTTTAAAGAGAAGGTTGCAATCAAAATTAAGAAATCACTAAACAGTGATATAATTGAAGAAGTGCAAGGCCCGTCTAAATGGGTTTCACCAATGTTCCAATCATGAAAGAAAATGGTGAATTACTATTGTGCGTAGATATGAGATATACGAACGCCGTTATATTGCAAGAAAACCACCCCCTGCCTACTATGGACCATTTTTGCCTAAAATGAAGAAAGCTAAATATTTTAACAAATTAAGACATAAAAAAATGCCTTCCATCAAGTGGAAATTCACTCTGAATCCAGACACATAACGACTTTTATAACCCCCAAAAGAGTATATAGATATAAAAGAATAATGCTTGGAATTACCTGCGCTTCCGAGATTTTTGAGAAGATCATTGAAAGGATGCTGATAAACTGTGAAGGGGTCGTCAATTTTATTGATGATATCCTGGTATTCGGGAACAGTGAAGAAGAACATGACGCATGACTAAAGAAAGTTCTACAGGTACTTAGTAAAAACAACGCCGTGCTGAATAGCAATAAATGCATATATAAAACGCAGGATGTAAATTTTCTGGGACACAGGCTTACACATGAAGGAGTAAACCCTTCAACAAGTACGTTGAGAGCATTATGTAATTTAAGGTCCCAAAGACCATAGAAGAACTCCAAAGTTTTTTAGGACTCTTAAACTACATAAACAAATGGATACCTAACTTGGCCGCCATGACAGAACTTCTGAAGCACCTGTTAAGACAGAAGATGAGCAAAAGGGAGAGCTTGGAAAAACAATGGTCTGGAGAACAAGATAAAGCATTCCAAAAACTCAAACGGATGCTCACGGAAATACAGATTTTAGGGTATTATGACGTCAGAGATGCAAGACAGGTGATAGCAGATGCTAGCCCTGTCGGACTTGGTGCTGTCCTTGTACAAAATGATACAAATGGCCCTAGAATTATTGCCTATGGTAATCGAGCTTTGACAGACTGCGAGCGCAGGTATAGCCAAACGGAAAAAAAGGCACTAGCATTAGTTTGGGGGGTCGAACATTTTAATATGTTTATTTGGAAAGCCTTTTGATTTAGTCACTGACTACAAGCCGCTAGAGATATTGTTCGGGTCTAAGTCAAAACCATGTGCGAGGATTGAACGATGGATACTGAGGCTACAGTCTTATTCATTCAAGGTTATATACAAGCCAGGAAAAACAAATATAGCTGATCCTTTGTCACGATTATGTAACTATCGTGATAACCCACCAAAAGGAAAAGACCAGCATGTGTACCAAATAGTGGAAAATTCTAGACCAGTTGCTATACCAATGAGTTCCATTGTAGCATATTCAGAAAAAGAACAAGAGATTTACAAAGTGAAAAAAGGTGTCTATCAGAACGACTAGGACGATTCGATTAAGAGTTACAAATTTTTTGAAAACGAGTTGTTTCCATGATAGCATTCTACTTCGTAGAAATAAAATTGTAATACCACAGCAACTCTGCAAGAGTGTATTAGATGCTGCATACGAGGGTCATCCAGGTATCGTAGCGATGAAGGGACGCTGGAGATCAAAGGTATGGTGGCCCCGTATCGATAAAGACGTAGAACAATTAGTAAAGGCTTGTAAATGTTGTACGTTAGTGGGTTTGCCAAACCCAACTGCACCAATGAAGAGACGAGAGTTGCCTGCAGCTCCATGGATAGATGTCACAATGGATCTAATGGAACCATTGCCAAGTAACGAGTATCTGTTAGTAGTGGTCGACTACTATAGTCGATACAAAGAAGTAAAGAATTACAAAAACATCACAAGCTTACAGATTATTAAAATGGTAAAAAAAATGTTCAGTAGACTTGGTTATCCTATTTCTATCACCGCAGACAATGGCAAGCAGTTCGTGAGTGAAGAGTTTCGATCCTTCTGCAAAGAATGTAACATTAAGTTATTTAGTACTGTACTATATTGGCCTCAAATGATCGGCGAAGTTGAAAGACAAAACAGAGATATTTTGAAACGTCTTCGTATCAACCAGATCGAGAGGAAGGATTTATAAGAAATGTTTATGGGAGTATCTTCTAATGTATAACAGCACCCCTCCTTACAGTTACCGGGAAGTTAGCGTCTGAACTGTTTTTTCACCGAAAAAGTAGGAGTATGTTAGGGATGAAGCTGAATGACAGAGTGAGAAATTGTTTAATAAGAGAAGAGTGTGGTTTGCAAGATGATGTTGTGACCAGGATTAAGAAAGGAATGCTTCGGTGGTTTGGCCATGTAGAAAGAATGAATGAGGAAAGAGTGACAAAGCAAATTTATGTTGCAGAGGTGAACGGCATAGTCGGGAAGGGTCGCCCTAGGCGAAAGTTTATCGACCAAATTGGCGATATATTAAAAATGGGCCAAATCAAGAGTACCTTTAACCGACGAGCGTGTATGCGTAGGTATATGGATGTGGAGGAAGCGAGAGAGGTGTGTCAGGATCGTGCCAAATGGAAGTCCATAATCTCTGCCTACCCCTCTGGGTGACAGGCGTGAGTGTTTATGTATGTATGTATGTTATGTAAGTAGGGATAAAATTCCATCAATAGGTGAAATAAATTACAGACAATCATTTAGATTCAGATATCAGGGATAGAGACAAAATACAAAAAAGAAAACGGAAAAGAGTATGTATATAGGAAACGCAGAGCAACTCGCTCAGATATAATACAGGGAGATAAGGTTTACGTAAAAGCAGTGGAAAATAATTAATACAGACAATACAAGCTGCTTTGTGATTGTTATGAGTTATAATGAAAAAAAGAAAAAAATCTTGATAAGAAAGAGATGTAGTGTATGCTTATATGTAGTATACAGTAAATATTTTTATTTGTTTTATTTACTAATAATTTACCATGCACAAATACACAAACATACATTTATATATAAGTCACTGTCTCGAGCGCACCGCGTCAGTTACACGAGAGCCTCGGCGAGAGTAGACGTGTTGTTTAGTTAAAGTGCGTGCCGAGCCTGTGTTACACTACAGTGGTTAGAGAAGATAGCAGACATTACAGTCATTTAAAATAATATTTATTTCATGGTAAGATTAGAGAAAGTGCGAAGGAGATGGATATTACTCTATCTCGCTCGCACTATAGAAAAGGGGTCGTGACGGAAAAATTTTTACACTTTTTGCCGCCTGGTTCCCATCCGCCAAATTTGTACCGTGCGATAAGGAACTTCGTTTCAATAAAATAAAATCATTTTTATTCAATATAGATTACCTATAAGGATACGTATTGAAAGTCATTTAAATTTTACCACTAGTTCAGAAAAAAACAACTTTGACTTGGGAAGAACCAGCAAGAAACTCAGCGGGACTTATTTTTTAAACATTAATTTACAATATAGATAATATTTTATACATTTGAGTATGAAACATTTAGAACCTGGTATGGTAGTGATCACCTCATTCCTAGGGGTTATTATTAAGGGTTTCGTTTTTCTGTGTGTAGGCGACGTTTGGTACGGCATCGACATACAGAAGGAGGACATCGCGGACAACTTCGTGAACTGCGTGTGGGAGCCTGCAGTAGTCAAGATCAACGCCATCACGGCCGCTTGTGAAGCTGCAGCACAGGTGAACTGCTTGTCGATATAATAACAGAAACAGATTTTTTTTTATTCAATATAGATTATAAATAATACTTATTGAAAGTTACTCTTTTGTTTAATTACCACTGAAAACCTCTGGTCTGGGAAGAACCAGCAAGAAACTCAGTGGGACTTTTTTATTAATTACAGCTTTCAGTCATGTATGTTACACGATTAACAACACAAAACAAATTATAAATAGCTTGGTAGCAATCACCTCATTCCCAAGGATTATTGTCATCCACAAATTCTATTATAATAATTATATCTTATTATAATAATTATATCTTATTATAATAATAACAATGTCCTCCAGACCGAATTTCGGTAACGGCGGCCGGTCTCAACGGAGATCTGCATAAGACAGGATTATAAGGCACGAGCGTATGCACTAGCACAGGTGCACTCTCTATTGCCTCACTCTCATAATCCAATGGGACAGTAAACCGACATAACCGAAGAGAAATCAGGCGCAGGACCAACGGCTTTACGTGCTGTCCGAGGCACGGGGGTGATGCACTGACAACTTCCTGACTCCGGGCTGCTGCTAATGAGAATTTCTTGACTGACCCAAAAACTTGTCACAAATCCTCATGATCCTCCATGTTCTGACCACTAATCAGTATGTGGAGGTAACTGCTAAGGCCCCCGTCCAGCTGTGGACTTCACATGCTTTTTATGTGATAGCAGCTGTATTATGGTTTTTTTACGTGGTAGAGCCATGATGCAGCTATATTGGTAGTATAGTTGTAGCAAGAATGGGTCGGCTCGACTGGGGAAGGACCACGCTCTCACAGAATACCAGCGTAAAATAGCAGCATAACGCTGCTGTGTTTCGTATGATGAGTGCAGAGAATCGGAGACCCTTTTTTACTGGAAACGAGAAATTCCATCTTAGTCCTCACGGGTGACAATGCATCTGCATTTCGATTCGTAATCGAAGATAGATATAGATGTCTATGGGCCACAGCAACCACTTACCATCAGGTGTACTGTGTGCTCGTTTGTCACCCTTATTCTATAAAAAAGATGTTTGTAGCACGAATGGGTCGTTTCGACCGGTGAAGAACCACGCTGTTACAGGATACCAGCGTGAAATAGTAGATTTATGCTGTTAATTCATATGGTGAGTGTAGAGAACTGGAGACTTTTTTCCTGGCGACGAGGTATTCTAGTTGAATAGAATAATCTAGTCTATTGTTAGACTTATTGAGGTGCCATGTTTATTTCCCAGATCCTGTCAATAGACGAGACTATCAAGAACGTGAAGGGCGAAGCGCCACCACAGATGCCCGGCCGCGGTATGGGACGTCCAAGAATGGGATAAAGACAAAACTCACTTCGCAGTATTTCCTGAAACTCCAGCTTTATTTCCCTGTTCATTGGCTAGGGGAGAGTGGGGGAAGTGGTTTCCTTATATAATATACAATAATTTTTAACAAGTTGTATTTTCTAATGTCTAACATATTTAGCTCCCGTTGGCACGCTTGGCAATGGGACTGCCGATGTAAGATTATCTATTAATTGCATTTACAGTCGCCCTCCTCTGATTGTATTGTTTAAAAGATAGGGATCTGCTAGTTATTCTTTTTAAATAATGAGTTACAGAGCAACTGTCGTTCGATTGCTGTGCAACTATCGCTTAACTGTAGTGGAACAGTTGCGCAACTGTTGTAATGTGGAGAAACTTTACAGTTACATTACGAATGTATGTTACTCTTAATTTTATTTCATTTATTTGCTGACTTCGCCTGAATAGCTTTCACAAACATAGAAAGTAAGTCTATATAACGTAATAAATTATAATGTACTAAAAAATTTGTGTTTTATTTAACCTCGATTTTTAATACTTGATTGCCTCCTAGGAAGTATTTGCCGTAGTGCAAAGCATGGCAGCTTGGCAGGCAGGTTGACAACCGTAGTTTTTTACTTTTTAATTGAAATAATCTATAATGTTTTCATCGTTTAAATTGAACTAATTTTAAAAAGTATTAAACTAATTTGATCTTATAGCCCTTAAAAAACCTACGAAATGGTTTTTTAAAAATATCAATAAAATTAAAAAGATAAAAACTAAGCAAGTTATGGATAAAAAATCAATTACTTTTTTAAACTCGTACAGGGTCTTTGACTATATTTACGTGCTTCCTAGAGCCTTTATTATTTCAAATAGAAAAAAATAAAAACAGGAAACAGACAGGAATAGGAAACATAGGATTCCTATAAAGGGTTAATGTCGATAGTATAAAGTAATGTTGTTCTGCTACCTCACTTAAGCGGGCGTTAATTATGTGCGCAAGAATTTTACCGGCGCTGGAAAGAAGCGATATGCTTCGGTAAGAGCTGCAATCGGAGACATCCCCCTTCCCTTTGTAAAGCTTACAAATAACCGCATCCTTCCAGTCCTGAGGCACCTCTTCACTATCCCACACTCAAGGCAAGACGATAAAGCCTGTTAAGAACATGTTTTCCGCTGTATTTATATATCGGAAATGACAGGAGATCCCACTTCTGATGTCGGAGATTACAATAGAGGATCGCAATTTTGATCTTGGAGATACATCAGGATAGCGTTAACTGTTAAAAATAATAAAAGTGTGAGAGCGGATATTCAACTTGCTCTCTCGCTTACGCAGTTAATCATTAACAGTAATAAGACAGCGTAACGCACTATACACCCAGTATAGTGAAATTACAGTTCGACCACACCGTAACACGTCTCCGCCACAATCACACACCAGTGTAACGTGAGGTACGTAATTACATGATAACACCAAAATATGTAAACCAACAGCAACACTACTTATCTCAATGTAACACTGGACAGCATCTCAGCAACACCAATCCTCCTTGTCTGCACTAGAAGAATTACAACAACGAACAGAACCACGACACTATCTTAGCACTAGTAGAGTGACCACACTCGTTGAATGACTTTAGCGGAATCTCTCGCGCACGGCACCTACAGTGAACTTTATACTACAGACACAAGAGGGGTTTTCTCGATATACCCTCCATTCTACCTCGATCCAACCGGGTTTTGTTATAGACGCTCCGACACGGCCGTCCTGAAGTACGACCGTACTCGGGCGTGTATTTTCATGCATTCCTGTAACAAACACCAATTCGTCCGCACGTCCACCCTGACATGAGTGTGTACATATTATTAGTTCGCAAAACTAAATTGTTAGATGGCGCTGCTTGTTGTACAAAGGCACTACCAATCCACGACACGGCCATCCCTGACTAGCATCTGTCCTCGGTTGCAGTGCCTGTAGGCAATATATGCTCTGAGATTAATTTAGCTCGACTATTCTCCCAATAGAAACAAGGTCGATTCCAAATGGTACTTCACTTCTCCTAAGTCTAAGTACAATAGTCAACTGTCATAATTGACAATGCCTTGTCATTAAGGCTTCATACACAGTGCTTCCTGCACAACATGATTTATTGTGAAAGGTCCGATCAACAAGTTCCAACACAGTAATTTTAACAATTTTTTTACTCTACAATTCATAAGCAATGCATATTCAACTCGTGAAACTCATTGAAATCTGTGCACCAACACAGACCAGAATCGCACCAACGATTCTCCACATATCTACAGCCACATATGCTAAAACACATGAGGGGCTCTGTGCACCAACACAGGCCAGAATCGCACCAACGATTCCTTACATATCTGCCGTCACATATGCCAGAATCGCACCAACGATTCTCCACATATCCGCCGCCAAATATGCTACAACACATGAGTAGCTCTGTGCACCAACACAGACTAGAATCGCACCAACGATTCTCTACATATATGCCGCCACATATGCCAGAATCGCACCAACGATTCTCTACATATCTGTCGCCAAACATGCTACAACACATGAGGGGCTCTGTGCAACAACACAGACCAGAATCGCACCAACGATTCTCTACATATCTGCCGCCACATATGCCAGAATCGCACCAACGATTCTCTACATATCTGTCGCCAAACATGCTACAACACATGAGGGGCTCTGTGCAACAACACAGACCAGAATCGCACCAACGATTCCTTACAGACCCATCGCCACATGTTACTCATTAGGTGCGGTCTAAAGTTTTGAGTATGAGTATACAAGCATTTTTAATCAAATTTGGTCTCATAACCACTGTCATCAACTATGACATCTAACTCTCGAGGAACTTGGTGATCGGGGTTCTTCCTCACATGATCATAGGGGGTGTTTGTGGGGTACTTTGGACACTAACATGACCGCTTCGGTTAAATTTACAAAATTACTTACACTTTTGCCACAACACAATCTTTGATGATAGGGCATTCGGCCCAGAATCATAATAAAATGGGTACGACTCACCAGTATTCATCAGCACACCGCTGGGATTGCTCACATAGTACAGGTCAAACACGTCGCTCACTGCTCGTCTCTGCGGCAGGCATAAGGCAAGCGCACGTGGCTATTAAAACAAACCAGCACACGCTATACTTAGTTACCATGTAGCAAGCTCCCGTGGCCAAAACAACAGCACAAGGCGTGCCGCACTCGCACAGCGAGTTGTCGGGCCGCACCAGCGCCAGCGAGACGCTGCGCCACACCACGCACTCGAAGCATCAACGGGAGCAGTTGTGTTTTATACGTGGTAGAGCCATGCTGCATCTATATTATGGTTGTAGCACGAATGGGTCGGCTCGACCGGGGAAGGACCACGCTCTCACAGAATACCAGCGTAAAATAGCAACTTAACGCTGCTGTGTTTCGTATGGTGAGTGTAGAGAACCGGAGACCCTTTTTACTGGAAACGAGGCATTCCATCTTAGTCCTCACGGGTGACAACGCATCTGCATTTTGACTTTTAATCGAAGATAGATGAAGATGTCTATGGGCCACAGCGACCACTTACCATCAGGTGGACTGTGTGCTCGTTTGTCACCCTTATCCTATAAAAAAAAACGGGAGCAGTAGGAGCACCTGAGGGTTCACAGGCATCGTCGGGGTTATCGTCACCGTGATCTGCGTGAAAAACAAGTTGATAATTGTCAGGACAACATACACAGTTGCCTATCCTTTCATCCTTCACGCATACAAGGCCCTCAAATAGAAATACGCTCTCATACCGCCGACTATAAAAAGAACTTCGCTTTCACAAGTATGGATACATCTCCATACGATGTAACTCACACACTCTTATTTGAACTTGTGAGTTGCCACGTAAAACACGTGAACCAGGACAGCGCCTGCCAGGACAGAGCCTGATGCATGTTCAGAAAACACTACTTCTGCGCATACAGTGTACGACCCCAACGCATACGGAGTACACGACTTCAGAGGCATTGCCATGTATAGCATACACGCGCTCCGGGAAATCACCCGTCACGCGTACAGCATACGCGTGTGCCGAAGCCAGGCCATGCTACATCTGGACCCGGCAGTCCGTTCCGACCAGCAAGGCACACCATCGCCTCACGCTCGCTTACACGTGTAATCACATCACACGTACTACTGTAACACAAAAGGAAATATTAAAAATATTCAGTAAGAATTTTTTTTCCAAAAAAGTGCAGCACTACTCTCGAGACACCATTCGCCTTTCCAGGGCACCATATACTGGGCTGCGGCTACACGACAACCTCTGGTATGGTCCGATCCTCATGTAAACTTAAATACTCTCTTCAATGTCAGAACTAATTGGCTCTACTTCACTTTCATCAGTTATACTTTGGTTTTCCGGCATTTTTCGCAACCAATTAAAAATGTAAACACTTATTCTTACAAAATATTTTTTAAGACAATGTTTAGGATAAATTTACTTTACTCATGTTGTATCAAACGGTGATCGGTAGCAGCGGCAATTAACGTGGTCGCGGCGTCATAAGCCGATAGCATATTTCCACTCAAGAGCGAGCGCCACAGCACCACGCGTTCCACTAAACCCTCGACATCAAATCCCAATTTTATCGACTACGTAATACTCGCAGTAAACTGTAAGACTTATCAACACATTAGAACACAGAAGTACAACTTAGTGTTTTAATTAATAGCACGTTAAAGTTAAACATGTTTCGGTACATCGTTTAAACATTTTAAACTTTAAAACTAGCCCATGTAAATCACACCTCGTGCACAGTATAAATATGATATTCATACTATATATTTACTGTGCCTCGTGCATCAAATTATAACATAACTCGAGCAAGTTAAACTTCCACAGAATGCGAACTATAACTCATTTAGAATACCTCCAACATTTCTTTCGACATTTGTTATCATGTTTGGGTACGTTTAGAAATAATGAAAGTACTTTTTATCATTAATCGAACAAAAAGATTTAACTTTTGGCTTAACACATTTTACTTTAAACTTTTACTCTACACTTTAATGATTCGTCAGTGTCGTAAATACGACAACAAACTTTATTTAAGAAATTAAACACAAAAACAAAACGCGAGGCGTATCATAGTATTTCACCAACGTAATAACCCTCACACTATTCTAAGTTTATAGGTGGGCAGTAACAGGGACTTTATCCCACTTCTGATGTCGGTTATTTACAACAGAATTTTGATCTTGGAGATACATCAGGATAGCGTTAAATGTTAAAAATAATAAAAGTGTGAGAACGGATGTTCAACTTGCTCTCTTGCTTACGCAATTTATCATTATCAGTAATAAGACAACGTAAGGCACTATACATCCAGTATAGTGAAATTACAGTTCGACCACACCGTAACACGTCTCCGCCACAATCACACACCAGTGTAACGTGAGGTACGTAATTACATGATAACACCAAAATATGTAAACCAACAGCAACAC